GACCCCTCTTTATAACGTTGGGATATCAGGTCAAAGCTTAAATAAAAATTGTGCTATTTTCGCCTTGCGGTCAATGTATCCAAAGTTATTTATTTCAATGCACTTACTTGCATTTTAAAATATTCCAGCTGTTGTCCCAAAGTTAAGAGCTTGCCTGGCAAAATACCATCTTTTTCAAAAAAAGATTTCCAAAGGAAAGAATACGTATGTCGTCGGGCGGACTTTAGTTATTTCTTCTGTGTGCAACTTATACATTTCTCAAAGGATTTTGACCAAACTTGTACATGCGCTGTGTCATCAAATGTTCTTGCTCATATTTTATATCTGTATATATATTATTATTCAAAATTAGATGAATTACTGATATTTGGTTGCTTCTTTTAAAGCAAAATTCACTTCCGTTCTCAATTTCTACTTTTTTCACTGAACTTTATCATCATCAAGAGCCTTGGCGCATACTGTCCGTGGTTTAGACCTCAAACACAAGTTTCATATCACAAAGCTGAAACAAATGCATTCTGTAATTTACATAATAGCGTATTTCTAACTTCAATCAATAATTTAAGTCCAACATATAGTCTTCCAGTGATATATGTCATTTTTCAACTGCAATATTTTGAACGAGTGAAAGCAATCCACAATTTGAAAAATGAAACCGAAAAAAGGTAATATACACCTCCTGTTTTCACTGCAAGGTAATAAAAATATCCCCTTCAACAGTTTATAATTGTTTAAAGATATACTATGCTCAAATTTGATTTTATAAATATTAATAATTGCTACACAGTCTCTTTGTATGCATAAAATTAACATGTTTTGACTTCATTTAAAGTAGATATGGTATGTTTTGAACTCTACACACTATAGGTGGTCACAATATGAATATATAGTGTCGTTAAAAAACTGGCAGTTTTTTTAAGAAAAGGCTAACTTTACTTGACCTGTAATAGGGAATGCAGCTTCCAACACATAGTTTATTCATTATTTTATTCAAATTAAACATATTCAGTAAGAGTTTCATTGATTTCAATACATTTCTAAGATAAAAATATTTTATCCAAAGATGAGCATAGTATATCTTTAATATGTGAATGTCCAGTACGAAAGTAATAAATGTTGAAATATTTACTGTTTCCAAAGTTTGAGGCAAAACTGTGAATTATTACCTATTTATTTCTAATTAAACATTTTTAACACCTGGGAACAAAAGTTGCTGACTTTTCCTATGGCAAAATTCTTTATACTGATTTATGATTCATGTTCTTATAGCTTGAGTGTTACATCGGTAACTCAAATTGGGAGGGTGGGGACATGCAAATCTGTGCATTCAATTTAAATTATTTACATTTCAATCAAAACCTCCTTATTTGATTTTTAGAAATAAATTGACAACATCTTTCTCCCTCTTTATTGCATTAAGATTTTTATTATCTATTGTTTCCTGCATCACATGAAAGTTTTTGTTAATTATTTTTTTGTTGAAATGAATTGACTTTAACATGTTGGATATAAAAACTTAGTGCTGCCCTTAATTTAAATCTATTAATTTCAAAACATTGATTCGAAAGTTATATATTACACAATTGAGAGCTAGGTAACGTCTTTTCTTAAGAATAATTATGTTGGTGGGTCCGGTAAAACAATACATTCTTTATTAAATTCATCTGTATTACACACGTAAATTTCGATTCTGATGTCGAATAAGCATTGCGATAAATTATACAGAGAGATACATGTACCTTAATTCATATTAGCAACTATTACAACTTTGTGATACTTGAGTCTGTAACAGTTACACAAGAGCAGTACCGATACTTTCATTGTAATTTTGCTAGCAATTTACACGATCATATTTTAAGATTAGCAGATGAAAATGGTGGCAAATGTCCTTTAACAAAAATCAATTATAATTATTCCTGTAGGTTCTTGCAAACAACAAAGAAGTACAAAACGCCACTTTTGAAGTGGAGAGGACACTAGTAAGGCAAAGAAGAAAGGTTCTGATTGATGCACGTGCAGATGATGATGATGCAGGATTCATCAGCTTTGAATATAGAAAATAATTTCATAATTTTCGAGGTTGGAAACCGCTGTTCTTTGTTTGGAAGAAAAAAACCCGATAAATTAAATTATTAACATTGTCATTTAGTCATATTTATGTATGTATAAACAGTTATGCCGTCGTAATACTGTCCCGAAATTGACACCAGATGGGCATACGAATATGGAATTCTAAATTTCGCGCGAAGTTGGCCCCAAAACTGGTCAACAATCTCTCAAAGGCAAAGCAAGTACGATTCTTACAGAATGTCATGCGATCGCATCCGATCCACACACAATTCCTACCGAAGGTCACGCGATGGCAGCCGATCCACTTACGATGTCACCCCAAAGATGCAAATTTTACCAAGTAGTTTATCCGCAGGACACGTGAAGGTCACGGGATAGAGTACGATGCGATCATACGTGCTTACGAAGGCGTCAAGTGACCTCCTGGTGGTATAATACCTTCCGCCAATCGCGGCAAATTTCTGTTGTAGATAGTATTGGGAGCTAAACTACGTTTAAATATTTACATTACTTTCAAAAACAATTCTAGTCACTCGAAAATCTAATTATGATAAAAGAGATGTCTTTGTCTTGGTATAGTAAATTATCCACATTTAGATGGAGACGTACCGCATGCAACATCTTAAGGGGTACATGTATCTCATTTAATAACATCCGCAAGATCTTGCAGCAACGTGAAGGATTTTAACGAGCGAAATATTCTCATTACTAGCAAGCTACTCAAGCAGGACTAACGCTATTATAAATGAAATAAATATTTTACAAAATTGTACAATCGTAACTTTGAGTTAATCTCAAAATTCAATAGTAATTTGTCAAGGGATTAGCCAGCCTGATTTTCATGGGGATGTTATTTACAAACTTCGTAAGATCTTGGGTCATTTAAATTTTTCTATTATCTTTTCTAACATTTGTTTAACGTTTTATTAAAAGAGGTTATGACCTACTAATTATAGATATACCGCAAGCTTAGTTTTCATCACTTGTATAGTTGGACGCTATGCTCTCCTCTTTTGATTACATGTGAAGGATTAAGTGGGAGACTCTATGATGGATAGTCCATAAAACCCTTTTGGACTGAATTATCTTAATGTTCGTCTATTGCCTTGCTTCGTCGGACGCTTGTAGGTGATGATCTTGTTTTGCTCCGTCTTCCATTAAGATATTGAGTACTTTTATTATGGTCATTGGGTTTTCTTTTATATGTTTCTACATGATCATTTCGGTGCTTTACTTATTCACCTTTTGTAACCATAACAACTGTTAAAATTTCACTTTGGGGCTTCATTTGTATTTACACCGTCTCTTTTATAGGAACATGGTGTTGCTAAGAAAAAGGTTTGGTGCACCATTAACCGGTTTAAACTCTCCAGCAATACTTATGCTGCTGACCGTTCCAAGGTGGCGCCCCTCTTCGTTCCTCAGATGTATATCTTTGTTGTTTCATACTGTTTTGGTGACACTCGTCTGTGTCCCTTGTTGTTTTCTCGTCTACGGAACGCATCTTCCCTTTTGCCCATAGTTTATTTCTTTAATCCCCCCCATATTCCCGAATATCCTATCCCCTTTCGTGTGCCCATTTATTTGTGGGCCTATTAATCAATCATTTATTTGTTTTCTTTGATTTCCTTGTCGGTTACTATTATTTCTTCTTATGTATCATTTCAATGATAAGCCTGTTTTTGCTCTGCCTTGCGCCCTGTCCTGTTTTTTTTGGTCCTCCTGGGCTCCTTGTCACTGGTTTCATTGCAGGTTCGTGTAGGGGTTGCATTCATTGATCTTGTTTATCATATGTATTTGAACTTATCATGCCACCCAATGTGGGCCCACAGGAGTTGTTAATCATGTGTATATGTAATCAAGGTGTATTAATAGTAGCAATGCTGCTGCCTTCTTTTTCTCGTTGACTCATCATCAAAGCATGTAATTCTGCAGGAAATAAACTGAAAAATAGTTATTTATTAATTGCAAATAATGAAAGCTTTTGATGTATCTGTAGGATGTGCAAGACTTACAGATGATGAAGATGGTCTGAGGCCAGCCTTTTATATGTCTACCATGATAAATATGCACATTTTGAGCCACTCAAATTTGTTTTTTTTCGCCCTCATAGTGGTCCCATCTCGATGACATCGTACCAAAATACGATGGCAACACGACGGTATTGCGGTGGCTTCACGTCGTCGTGTTCCCTTCTTAAGACAATCGGGAATCTTCGTGTTTCCTTCGAATTGTCCTCTTGAGGCTAAAAATACCAGATTGCACCGATGATCTCACGAAGTAAAGACGAAGACTACACGATTTGACAAGATGGCTTCACGACGTCCTTACGAAGCGCAAAATTGGCATACGAATTCAACATGAAAATGAATCTTCGCAATGCCTTCTTTTGCGACCGCCCACGATGTTGCTGCCGGAGCCTGAAAAATTTAGCCGGGGGTCATACGATGGCAAAAGATGTCCTCACGAATGGCCCGATGTTATTACGATCAGATCCGAATTTGAACATTTCCTAATTCGTGTGTCCATCTGATGCTAAATTAGGGACAGTGTGACGCCTGCATAATGCCATTTTTGGGTGGCATGATAAGGTTTTATCAAATGTGATAAACATGATCAACAAGGAAAGGCAGCGTTCAATGAACGCAACCCCCAAACGACCCGGCAACAATGTAAAATAAGTAAAACACCGAAATGGTCATGTAGATACATATAAAGGAATACCCATATGACCATAACAAAAGTACTCAATATTTTAAAGGAAGACAGAGTATCAAAAAAATCACCAACAAGGGTCCAACGTAGCAAGGCATAGATGAGCATTAAGGCAATTCAGTCCCAAAGGGCATTAAGAAAATTTTAACGTAGTTTAATTAGCTCCCAATACTATCTGCAACTGAAATTTGCCGCGGTTGGCTGATAACTGATAAATGACTGAAAATTGTATATACTGTGGAAGTGTTGTGCGGAAACGGCAGGAGGCAGTCACTTGTGATGCTTGTGACAGTGACAACATAGGAGGTGTTATACCGGTGAGTTACTTTAATTGACAAAACTTATCAGGAGTAAAAATATTGCCATTACATTTGAAAATATATCATCATGACTAACAGGTTAAAATACTTAAAAATAATCGTGAATATATTGCCATAGAAAAATAATTGAAAATAAAAACATTTTTATTTCTAAATTCAATTTTTTTAAAGAGTAGTTTTTAATTTGAATTATAGTTCATTAATAAAAATAAATAGAGATGCAATGCTACTGGATTAACGAATGCTTGATGTAATTAACGTAACGATAATTAAGCGTGAACAACGTGCTACCTGATTAAACGTTACGGTGTTCAAACTTAATTTGATTTGTCGAACATGAGTGGATATAGAACACGCAGACAATATAGATATATAACATATATGAATGCATAATTTAAGATTTAATTGATGACCATCGTATTGACTTTATTAAAACATGATTTTTTTGTGCATACATTATAATAAATATACATGTATATGTATGTTGTGATGATGGGTGTTAAGTCCTAGTCAGAAATAAAGTAATCAGGTAGCATGTTGTTCATACTTGATTGCTTTAAATTAGCTTTTTATTAGTTACACGTGTCCGACACAGCTGGATATTTTATTTTTTGTATCAATCTAAATAGAAAAACATGAAAAAATTGACTCTTTAACATTAAACTGTAGTTTATTATTGAATTACATATTTTAATACATATTCTTGTATGATACTACAAACGTTTTCTTTCATAAAAAATATGAGGACATTAAATACATAATGATGATACTAAAGAACTGAAGCACTGATAATGTTTTATTAATATATATTCTTGTACGTTTTCTTTTATAAAAAATAAGGGGACATTAAATATTGATCAATACATTTTTACAAGTAATTATTAAGTATAAAGATGATAATTTCTATGAATGTAACGATATTTTTTTACATTACAGGTCATATGTTGACAACTTAAAGCCGCCGTCAGCATCACCAATGCCAGATTAGCTAAATAGACTTCAGCGAACAGGCTTTATTGTTCTGCTAGACCTGTTCGCTGAAGCCAAATCCGTATCAAAAGTCAACCAGAACTGTGACATATATATTTTATGCTGTAATTCAATAAATTTGTGTGATAGGGACAAAAGCTATTTTAATACAGGTAGTTAGATATATTTGGGACACTTTGAACCCAGAACGTCAGATTGATGAAATAATGCCTCAAAGTTTATCAGCCATTGCTGCCCTTATTATCACGTGACTATCGAGAATTTAGGTTCGGATACCTTTGCATGACATTTGGTGACATGTGACCCAAATGCTATTTTTAATTGAAAACATGACTTTGCAATTATGAATAACGGTGTATTTATTCAATAGCAGACATTGTACCAGAAATGTTGGATTTATAATGTTTTGAGTTATGATTCATGAATTATTTGTTTTTTTTTATTTAAAATCGTACAATTACTAAAAATAGTGTATGGTCCGTTACTATATAGATGCTAGAATCCTCAAAACTTGAAGTCCCGCGAGATTTCATTTGAAAGCAGACTTCATATTGATTATTGGTAAACATTCTCTGCTTTTTTCCCTACCAAATAGTTGGGTACACAATGTCATTGAAGTTTCAATTAAAAACAAAACATGTATTGATTCAAAATTGATTTGTTTATCAAATGGTATTTCTATTTGACCCAAATTGATTAATAAGGGTGATTTTAATAGGTTTTATGTACGGCACACTAACTGTCAAAATTCTGGTAGCCTTTGCAAATAGGGTTGACTCATAATTTTATTGTCGCACAACGTCAAAATAAAAGCGATATATAAAGTTATGGAAGCCACAACTATTGCCAAATATGCAACGAAAGACTTACCGATCTATGCAGTCTCAGATATTTCAAACATGGAACAGGTTAATATGATTTATCATTTATTTTGTGTGTAATACTTAAGTGACATTACGACCATTTTTTTCGATGTCAAGTTGAATTTCATTAGTAATATATTTGAATAGAGGCTAATATAATGCTCATTGACTGATAATTGATCATGAAAAATGTGTATGATACAATATAAATATAATTCATATAAATTTCTTATTTAAATAATATCATTAAAATGAATATACATTTATATTATAATTGTTGACATTTTCATACTTTCATTTAATTTTTATGCTTGCAGCTATCGTGCGAAACAACTTTCATTATCGGCACTAATGAAGAAGATTTCAAGTCTTTACCAACCCAGGGTGTTGAGACAAGAAGCAGAGTAATGTTTAGTGATAAGAAGTGACAATAATAAAACCTCAAATGCCTCATACAGTTACATGTATACTGTTTCATATGTTTATAGTACATTGAAGATAAATGTTAAAATTGTTATACTCAGACAATAAATAAATTGATTATTATATGTTTTGTTCTGGTTTTCTTTGTAAGCATGGTTTGTCATTAGGTATTCCCATCCACACAATTGTTTTTTATCAATATGCATGCAACATTAAAAAAAGAAAATGAAACATGAATAAAGAAAATAAAAAAGAATCGGGCCCATCTGACTTGAGGCCGATTTCACTTGAGGCCGATTCGACTATTTTTGGGCCAATTCAACGTGGAGCCGATCTGACTTGGGGCCGATTTGACTGTAAATCGTTTCGGCTGTTGAGAGAGTGTCGATTTTCGGGGCTATCTTCGCACGAAATTAAAAATTCTATATTCGTATGCCCATCTGGTGTCAATTTCGGGACAGTGTGACGCCTGCTTAGGGAAACATTTATGTTGATTTTCATTCAATTTGTTCCTCAAGACATTATAAATAAGTGAAATAAAACCAATTATGTAGACTCACATAATGTCCTTGCGCAAAGATTTTTTTCAAGTGTATTTTTTTATTGTTAATTTTTTTTTCTGTTTTATTTTTAAGACAAGTATTAAGAGAAATATTTTATGATATTAGGCCTCTTACTGTACATTTAGTAATAACATTACACAAGCAAAGAAGAAACACATTTACCAGCGGTAAAAATTTTCTTAAACTTTGCATGATTAAAAAGAATCATGCTAGAAACAAATTGAATAATGAAAAAAGCGATGGGTTTACTGCTAAATGTTCTTTTTATTTACTTGGACCAGAAATTGAATGTTTTACTCTGAGATCACTTCCAGAAAAAAATATATATTTCAAATTAGTTTCGTTACATCTGTTAATCATTTTGCAAAATTTAAAACAATTCTATTAAAACTATTTTTACTATGCTTCAATTTGAAAACATACTGCAAAGAAAATTGAAAGCTACTATAGAATATCATTTGTTGCATATAATTTCAGCAAATCGTGTGCTATAATAGGAAACATACAAAATTTGATATCGAAAAAAGTCAATAGTATCAAGTCGTCCGGTTAGCCCAAAAGGTACAGCGTTCGACTGTGAATCGATTCCCGGACGGTACAGGTGGTTTAATTCTAAGACAATAAGGTTAAAAAATAGTGAACTTTAATTTGAAACATACATATAATCATAACTCAGGTAAAATAAAACGCTGTTTGTGAAAAAGGATAGCCACTCTCCATTAATTGTTGACGGAAAGGTCTGATAAAATCCATAAAAATATATAATGTGAATAATTTTATATTATTTTTTCAACTGAGAATTTTTTATTTCTTTACTAAGAATTTTCTCAAATCACATAATTCATTTACAAGAAATAAATAATGATACAAAAATCAACACAACTTTCCTAAAACAAACAAGTCTAGACCATGTGTGAATATCCGTTTAATCTGCATGGTTTTCTTGCAATTTTATGGCAGAAAATATGAAATAATTTGTCTGAACCATTATCACTGATATTTACACAAAACGCGTGTCACTGACAACCAACAAATTGATCAATCAAAATTCACATCAATTAGATAATTGACAAAAATATATTAAAGACCAAAGCAGTAGTATATGTAATCAGGCCAAGTCCAAGACAACACAAGCTACACATTTTAATAGAATTTGTTTTTCTTGTATTATTTTAGGTCATCATTGATACGCAAAATTATTTTTACATCTATATATACATACAGTGTTACCCTCACATGTTTTCGTGACTGTTTATTATCATTTATTATTACAAATGTATTTATTTCAGACATGTATTTGTATTGTAAATATGCAAACTGGGATATATTTTCAATAATATTGAAACTTGAAGGTCATTTCCGTTGTGATTGATCATGAAATCAATCTTTTCCAAGATCATTCGCTTTGACATTAACTGAAGTAATCGGTTCCTTGCAAATGTTAAGTCAACAAGTACTGATAAACTGCTTGACAGCCAACGAGGAACGATGCAGTGGCTTAACTTTGCTCTGGTTAATTCAATGTAGCTTATTGCTATGACCCGGAGTGAAAACTACCTACACCACAACAGGCTTGAAACAGTTATGAGTAAATGACCTAGAAGAGCAAAAAAAAAATAAATAAATAAACTCATTCAATGTATCACAAAGGTAAAACATATATTTGACGAGGTGCTAGCCATAAAGAAAGCTTGATTAGAACTGATAGCGAGTGTTTAACTATAAAGAAAGATATGAACACATATAATTATTTCAAAATAAATTCAGAAGAGATAATGTAAGTTATATCATCAGTGATGTCTATTATATTGTACTTTTTTGTTCTGTAATGTTAATATTTTAACTGAATACATATGTTTTTTTATTTTTGATATTAACTCTTTTAAAATACATTTTTTAAAAAGTTAATTGAGATATTTTTGCGTTTACTTCATATAAATATTTGTATTTTTATTTACGGAATGGTCAGAATGTATGTGAAAATTTCACATTGAAAAATTGTTAACTTGCATTTTAAGGGTCATGTTCCAAGCTAATTTGCATGGCTCAAAACTCTAGCATAGACTTTGACAGATTATGTTTCTTTTGGAACTCAAAAGGGGTCTGGAATTTGCGCATGACATGCCGTATTATTACAACAATACACAATTTAGCCATTTTATTTCAAATTCCTTTGATGAATAGTTTAGTAATGGACCGAACACGTGTGATAGATATACAGAAGGACGGGCAGACGGACAGACGGACAGAGCCTAATTCTATGCCCCCTTTTTCTTCGAAAAGTCATGGGGACAATAATGATTCATAAATTTGTTTTTGTATTACAGCAATTGTTCAAGATAAAAATGTATTAGTTTTTTATTTTGCATACAAATAATTCTGAATCAATAAAAGAAATTAAAGGATTGAATATCTTACTAACATGTTAATCACTCTTATGAATTTAAAATGTTAACAAGGAATTGAAAGTTCTAAATATCTAAATAAAGCATGATATAACCTGTTTCAGGGGAGAAGTGCATTTTTCTCTACTTAACCTGATGATCGTAAAACAAATAGTGTTTGTAAAGTAATGAAATTTTGATACTTTGATTTTGTTGAATTTTACGTCACACCAACATAGCAGAGGTCATTTTGACACTTTCTAGCTAACTGGTGACACATTTGTGCATTATACCAAACACGACCGTTCCGTAAGCTAGCACGATATTTTTTTCACATGAAAGAATCCGAAGTGTTTGATTTAGATAATTAACTTTACTACAAAATTTTAGCAGCATTTCGTAGTTACATATTTTGGAATGGTGAATTCGATAAAATTGAACATTTATCAGAAAACCTGATCTTCACCAATGAAATGGCAATTAAATACTCAGATGGCCATCAAATTTGCAGATCATATACATGTGTATCATCGAAATTTAAACCACTGATTTACAGATTTATATTCAATGACCAAGGAGAAGTAACAATCTGGCTCAAGTTATGAAGCCGCATGTCAAACTTACGCTGGTTTCCGTAAATACAGCATGGCAATTATGTTCAATAAAATATGAATGAATGTACGGAATAAATATGTATGCCCAAGTTCACTTTGTTTGATATAGTAAATTGGTATATTTAACATATTTGGGAATGTTGAATTATCTATAGGTGAACACTTCACAGAAATCCTGATCTCGACCACTGTAATGGCTATTAAAATGAAGTCCTCAGATGGCAACCACAATTGCACATCACTCACATGTATATCATCGAAATCGAAACAATTATTGATTTACAGATTTTTATTCAATGACCAATAGGCAGTTATATTCAGACTAAAGTTGTAAAACTACATTTCAAACTGGTTTTCGTAAAAGACAACATGGTAATTATAATCATTTAATGACTTTTATCTCTATTAGGCATCTTAATGAAGTACACAAATTGAATAATATCTATTTTTAATTGAATATCAAAATCATTTTCATTTAAATGAGTTAGAGCATTACTTAATGTGGAATATCCTGGTCATGATTTGAGCCTCCTCTTACCATATTTCGAAGTAAACTGAACTTTCCGTTCCAACTCAGATGCTTATCCTCTACTTACATTAGCTACAGTTTTACCATACATCCTACTTTCGGTACTCAGATTGCCTGTAAATTTCCGCATTGACAATTAAAACATATTAAACTTCGTTGCAATAGTGAATTTAATACAAAAATATATTGGAAACCTTACAGAACGCCTTAATTAACTTAATTTGATATTTTGCAGGCTCTGATTGTGCGAATAACTTGTTAACAATGGGCAAAAGTAAATAAAAGAGAAATTAAAGAGACAGCCATTGTAACTGAGTAATAATTAGTAAATTCAAAAAATAAAAACATATGGCTTAAGTGTCATGTTTAACAGTATAATTCAAAAATGCCCGTATAATTACAAGAAATATTAAAATACATACAAAAAACACAAATCACTGTTTTAAACTCTGCTCACAAAAACTGTTAACTTACGATATAATTGCATACAGGTCTTTCTCACCTTAGTCTTCGCCAGTGCGAACATACTTCCTGTAACGTTCAACGCCTTCAATGTAAATATAAAAGTCTTTACCAAATGAAGAACGGTCTTCCGTGTTCCGTCATCAACTCCTCCCAACTGCTAAAGTAGTGTCCCGTAAACTGGACATCACTTACGGAACTATACTGAAGTCCATAGGGGTGAGGTCGAATTGTAGAGCGGATGGCTCTTTTAAACGCCAATAAATCAATCTCAATTGTAGTGGATCTAGCCCTATGAGGAAGGGTATTGTTTTTATGCCATACGTTGTCCGACAGCTCAACAAAGGCCGCCTCTTCCGGAGCGCGTTTATTACATCACGCCGCAGCAGCTGAGGAAAAATGATCATATTTTAGCGAACTGCAATTGGT